AGTAGTAGTAGTAGTAGTAGTAGTAGTAGTAGTCAGGGACTGTATCAGTAGTAGTAGAAGTAGTAGTCAGGGACTGTATCACTAGTAGTAGTAGTAGTAGTAGTAGTAGTAGTAGTAGTAGTAGTAGTAGTAGTAGTAGTAGTAGTAGTAGTAGTAGCAGTAGCAGTAGTAATAGCAGTAGTAGTAGCAGTAGTAGCAGCAGTCGTCAGGGACCGTAGCAGTAGTAGCAGTAGTAGTAGTAGTAGTAGTAGTAGTAGTAGTAGTAGTAGTAGTAGTAGTAGTAGTAGTAGTAGTAGTAGTAGTAGTAGTAGTAGTCCTGGGACTGTATCAGCAGCAGCAAGGGACCGTAGTCGTAGTAGTAGTAGTCAGGGACTGTATCAGTAGTAGTAGTAGTCAGGGACTGTATCAGTAGTAGTAGTAGTAGTAGTAGTAGTAGTAGTAGTAGTAGTAGTAGTAGTAGTAGTAGTAGTAGTAGTAGTAGTAGTAGTAGTATCAGCAGCAGCCAGGGACCGTAGCAGTAGTAGTAGTAGTAGTAGTAGTAGTAGTAGTAGTAGTAGTAGTAGTAGTAGTAGTAGTAGTAGTAGTAGTAGTACTAGTAGTCAGGGACTGTATCAGTAGTAGTAGCAGCAGCTAGGGACCGTAGCAGCAGTAGTAGTAACAGCAGCAAGGGACCGTAGCAGCAGTAGTAGTAGCAATAGCAGTAGTAGCAGTAGCAGTAGTAATAGCAGTAGTAGTAGCAGTAGTAGCAGCAGCAGTCAGGGACCGTAGCAGTAGTAGCAGCAGCAGTAGTAGTAGTAGTAGTAGTAGTAGTAGTAGTAGTAGTAGTAGTAGTAGTAGTAGTAGTAGTAGTAGTAGTAGTAGAAGCAGCAGCAGCATTAGTAGTAGTAGTAGTAGTAGTAGTAGTAGTAGTAGTAGTAGTAGTAGTAGTAGTAGTAGTAGTAGTAGCAGTAGTAGTAGTAGTAGTAGTAGTAGTAGCAGTAGCAGTAGTAGTAGTAGTAGTAGTAGTAGTGGTAGTAGCAGTAGTAGTAGTAGTAGTAGTAGTAGTAGTAGTAGTAGTAGTAGTAGTAGTAGTAGTAGTAGTAGTAGTAGTAGTGGTGGTAGTAGTAGTAGTAGTATTAGTAGTAGTAGTAGTAGTAGTAGTAGTAGTAGTAGCAGCAGCAGCAGCAGCAGCAGCAGCAGTAGTAGTAGTAGTAGTAGTAGTAGTAGTAGCAGCAGCTCCCCACGCCTCCTCTCATCCTCCACCCCCACATCCCACCGTATATAGTTGCGTACCTTCATACACACATACACACATACATCTATACATAAAACATACATGCAACAAAAGGCAGACTTGACAGACAGACAGACAGACAGACAGACAGACAGACAGACAGACAGACAGACAGACAGACAGACAGACAGACAGACAGACAGACAGACAGACATACACACCACTGTCAGTTACAGGAATTAAAATAATTAAGACCGAACACCTTTTGGTACCATTTTATTCAATGAATAAGAAATAAAAATCTAATCTTAAATGCAAATGGCGAACTATAGACAAAATATTGAAAGATGCATATATTTTTAAACATTACACCAAGAAATTCACATACTCGCACATGCAGCCCTTCTACATTTAAGCATTTACACTTTCACAAATTCATACACTCAAGCATTCACACACTCATACACACACACATTTGTACTCTCTAGCATTTATACATTAACACATTCAAACGCATACGCATACGTAGACTTGCACCTTACTATCAGCTCGACTATAGATCACACAGACAAATAGTCAAGACTGTCACACATGACACAAACAATCGGTGAGGACTAAACACAGCTGACATATCCCGAAAGTAATGAGACATGTTTGAAACACTTCACAGTCTCACAAGCAACAACAGTTGTTGACTAAATAACTTTCTACAAATCCCACAAGCAATGTGCCATTATTGTACAAATTCACATAAACAATGATTTTTTCACACCTAGGCATAAAATCGTTGTGTAGTAAAGAACTGATACATTCACATTTTCAAAGGGTGCAACTAATGCATTAACATGTTCAATGTGTACAACTAATGCATTCACATGTTCAGTGTGTACAACTATTGCATTCACATGTTCAAAGTGTACAACGAATGCATTCACATGTTCAAAGTGTACAACTATTGCATTCACATGTTCAGTGTGTACAACTAATGCATTCACATGTTCAAAGGATGTAACTAATGTTTTCACGTGTTCCAAGTGTACAACTAATACATTCACGTGTACAGAATGTACAACTAATACATTCAAATGTTCATAGAAACACCTTAGTGAGGAAGAGAACTGGTTACTGCTAACAGAAGATGACAAATGACAGACTCACCTCCTTGTGGTAGGACTGTAGGGGACACCTGGCTTGTGCATTAGTGACGGGTGCCGTAATTATAACTTCTTTATAAGTTTAACCGGGTATCTGGGATCTGCCATGTTGGATATTTTCTCAAGGTCATGCCGGTGTTGGGAAACGAGCAGTCAAAAAGACTGGCCGTTTCTGCAGCAACTGGTAGTGAATTGGTGTATGACAAGCTGGATATTGTGGCGGCCCTTTAGGAGCGAGTGAACAGTGCGGAGGCACAAATAGATCATTACGGTTTGATGACAGCGGCGCGGAGAGGAGTTACCAGGGGATCTAGCCAGGTAGAACATTATTTACAACAGTGAAAAGGAGACAAAGTTCTTTGGTCATGTGATGAGAAAAGGAGCACTAGAAATATCGTGACGACAGGAAAGATCACTGGTAGAAGAGGCAGAGGCAAACCAAGAGAAATTACGGCGGATGGCTTCAGACAGTGGCATGGAGGAATATCACTAGTGGAATTGATCCAGAACGCAAACGACCGAGATCTGTGAAGATGCATGAATGCCTTCGCCAGCTAGCAAGGCACTTGATGATGGTGATGATGATGATGATGATGGTAATTTATACGAAACTAATACTGTAAGATGGCAGAAATATAGTTATGGTGGGAAATATTAGGTACAAGCATATTCTAGACCGAAAGTTGCCAACCGTTGAACTGCCCGCATTTCCCAGAAGAACCACCGACGCTCCAGGAAAATAGCGGAAACATTTACGAAAATAAAGATTAAAAAATATAAACTAGAATATGATAACACTAGCTCCAAAATGATCAATAAACAACGAGAGTTGCAAGAAAATCTCACTTTACGTCTTCTTTTTTTTTCGCTCCTTAAAATGATTTCTAAACAGCGAGAAGCTGTAATGTTGGGTTGACCTAATGGACTCAGCCTCAGACATTCATTTTGAAAATTGCTTCGCAAATGAAAATAGTTCTGTGGCATTGTTCTAGGACATGACATAATGGCTGGAAAGGCAAGTTGCTGTCCTCTTAATCTGTATGTCCCAGACAATTCACACACCCACACACATATGCATATATAAACACACACACGCGCGCGAGCACACACACACACACACACACACACACACACACCTGGAAATTGTCTGGCACTCACGTGAAGATAACTACGAGAAGAAAAAAACTGGCCACTGTTGAGGACTGAACCCTAGACTACAGTCTTGACGAATAGGGGCAACGATCACCACCATCGATCGTCACAGGATATCATTATTGTTCTGTCTAGACGCCATTCCTATAAATACTGTTCTTAGTGCATTTGTGTCTATGGCGAGGCGCAGATGCCGTCTGGAGGTGACAGGTTCAATTCCCGGTACGGTAACTATAGCTTTCGATTTTTATGTTGTCTAGTGTGTTCTTCTATCTTTCTACGTCTTTCTATGAGTGCCGATCAATAAACTTTCTGTTTCTTGATTAATTCATGTCTAGACGACAGAGATGTTGAAGATATAACCCTTTGTCACCGTCCATCAGCTACTTGGATGCTTGTTCTCTAGCTGTGTCTACCTCTTCTACCCATGATCCCTCACAGCGTCATTATGTTCTCTAGCTGTGTCTACCTCTTCTACCCATGATCCCTCACGGCGTCACCATGTTCTCTAGCTGTGTCTACCTCTTCTACCCATGATCCCTCACGGCGTCACCATGTTCTCTAGCTGTGTCTACCACTTCTACCCATGATCCCTCACGGCGTCACCATGTTCTCTAGCTGTGTCTACCTCTTCTACCCATGATTCCTCACGGCGTCACCATGTTCTCTAGCTGTGTCTACCTCTTCTACCCATGATCCCTCACGGCGTCACCATGTTCTCCAGGTCCTGGTTATAGTCATGATTAAAGGCCTACTTACGTAAGTAGTTACTGGTTACTCTGACTATCCATTCGCCGCAGAAGACATATCCTGGCTGACTCAGTTCTTCGCAATTTATTCTTTCACAAAAGAAGATCCACCAACAAAGAAAACAAGCTCTAGGAAAACTTTTTAGTTCCGTCTTTGACCCTCAGTTTACGTGACGTAATAGACTCGATTCGTTTTTCTATGTGTGTGTGTGTGTGTGTCTGTCTTTTGTCTGTGTACCTGTCTGTATTGCTTTCCCAAATCCTCAGTTCATATTACAATCGCTCCTATTATTTGGACAGTAAACTACATTTAAAAAAGCATAATTTATAATATGCAAACATAATAACATGTGCAGATAACAATATTGTCGTACAGTAAGAAATAAATCACATTATAATAACAAACATTTTTCAAGTCCAAAATGTTTGACTTTGCAACAACTGATCCCGTTAAGGACACAATGAATGTACAATGACATTCGACATGACATAAACGTGTACAATTAGGACAATTAATGGCACGTGTTATCATATACATTATGTACAATTAAATGATGATACATGGACAGGTACCGGGGAATGGCTGCGACTGGTTTCTCTCTCTCTCTCTCTCTCTTTCACATGCACACACATACATACAATACAGAGAGAGAGAGAGAGAGAGAGAGAGAGAGAGAGAGAGAGAGACAGAGACAGAGACAGAAAGAGAGGTGTTTGTCATGGTTAGTCACACTATATTGTGTGTATGTGTGTGTGTGAGTGAGTGTGTGTGTGTGTATGTATCATTGGGCTGGGGTGAAAAGACACAACAAACTCACATAGTCGTGTCACAAATAAGAGAGGTGCCACTGTGTGATCTACGAAAACAAAACACCTAAATTAACATAACTTAGCTAAGTTGATCGCCGCAGTGTGTGGGTTTGTGTGTGTGAGAGAGAGAGAGAGAGAGAGAGAGAGAGAGAGAGAGAGAGAGAGAGAGAGAGAGAGAGAGAGAGAGAGAGAGAGAAAGAAAGAGAGAGAGAGAGAAAGAGAGAAAGAGAGAGAGAGAGAGAGAGAGAGAGAGAGAGAGAGAGAGAGAGAGAGAGAGAGAGAGAGAGAGAGAGAGAGAGAGGGGAAGGAGCGGGTGCATAAACAATCCATTTAAAAAAAACGTAGAAAAAAAGGTAACAAAGTCACAGGTTGGTTGTCGTTCTGTCTCGGCTCTAAATTACCATTCCTTGTCATATACTTTATTTGCGTTAGAACTTCCACAGTAGTGAATATTGCCTGATCTCCACAAATGTAACAACATCATCAATCTTTTCAGTAAAAGTAGTTGTAACAGCAACAGCAACAGCAGTAGTCAAGTAGCAATAATAACATCACGAATCTACGTACTGAAAGTCGTTACTACAGCAGTAGGCGCAGTAGTGACATCAGTAGTCTTTACCCCCGTGTGGGTTCCGGGGCCCTGTTATAGGAAAAACAAGAATAGACCCATTGCCCATACAAAAGCATGTCGTAATAGTCGACTAATTGGGAGCTTCCTTCAAAGTCGCCGTGCCTCTGCTTAAGAATCAAGGACCCAACAGTCTGCACACAAATGACTCAGGTCTATCAAACGGATGCACACGCATCACTCAGGTTCTGGAGCAAGACTACGGTCCAGAAGTGGACGAACGACCAGAACTTTGCACCAGAGTTTACAGTTGGTGAACACGAAGAAGATAAATAGTCTTCATAAAAACAGTAGTAGTAGTAATATTAACATCATCAATCTTTATCCTAATTGTAGTTGTAATAGCAGCAGCTGCAGTAATGACAGCAGTAGTCTTGGGAAAAACAGTATTTGAAGTATCAGTAGTAGTAGCAATAATCACGTTGATCTTTCTAGTAATGTTAGTGGGTGGCGCTCGTAGCATACGGGTTGCGAACATCATTTGTTAATCTTGTAATGCCTGGTTCGATTCCAGCAGCAGGCAATATGACAGCAGACTGTTTCATGCTGATTTCGACAAAAGTGTCAAGAGCCAACTGTTCAGTAAGCAATGGCAAACTACAGAACGTAAAACTGCCTAGTGAAAAAACAAACAAAAACAACAACAAACAGCCAACAAATAATGGGGTTAGTTTGTAATGTTCTCTAGAGAATACGCAACAAACCGAATCGTAACTTTTGTACTGGTGAGTGCAGCTGTAGTCATAAAAAATAAGTCTTTTTAGAAATACTAGTCATACCTCGTAGCACACACATATTTCGTCAGATGATGACTTTCCCATCTTTCTTAGCAGATGATATGGTTAGTGTGGGGGGGGGGGGGGTAAGGGGCGTTGATGCCAGACACTGTTAACTGAGAGAGCTAACATTTTCTTTACTATTTCTATTTTAATAATTTCGCCAGGGATGATTTTTCAATCATTCGGAGGGGAAGGTATGACTGGGTCGAGGGGAGAGGAAAGGCGGGGGGCGGGGGGGGGGGTGACAGACACTGTAAGCTGAGAGCTATTTTTCTTTCTTTTCCATTTCACCATTCTGGGCCACAGCAACGCGTAGCCGGGTACGGCTAGGAATAACATAGTTATTGTAGCAATTGAAGTTGTAGTACTACAGTCAGTTAGTTATTGTAGCAAGTGAAGTTGTAGTACTACAGTCAGTTAGTTATTGTAGCAAGTGAAGTTGTAGTACTACAGTCAGTTAGTTATTGTAGTAAGTGAAGTTGTAGTACTAAAGTCAGTTAGTTATTGTAGCAAGTGCAGTTGTAGTACTACAGTCAGTTAGTTATTGTAGCAAGTGAAGTTGTAGTACTACAGTCAGTTAGTTATTGTAGCAAGTGAAGTTGTAGTACTACAGTCAGTTAGTTATTGTAGCAAGTGAAGTTGTAGTACTACAGTCAGTTAGTTATTGTAGCAAGTGAAGTTGTAGTACTACAGTCAGTTAGTTATTGTAGCAAGTGAAGTTGTAGTACTACAGTCAGTTAGTTATTGTAGCAAGTGAAGTTGTAGTACTACAGTCAGTTAGTTATTGTAGCAAGTGAAGTTGTAGTACTACAGTCAGTTAGTTATTGTAGCAAGTGAAGTTGTAGTACTACAGTCAGTTAGTTATTTGCGTATCCTTGACATGGCATTGCAGAACCAACCCCAGCATTTTTGGGCTGCTGTGGTTTTTCTAGTTGAAAGTATACGTCCAGTAGTTTGCCATTGCTTTCTGAAAGGTCAGCCTCTCGATACTACTGTCGAAACCAACGCAAGGCCGACAGCTAGGATCGAATCCGGCACCCCGGCATTACGAAAGTACTACAGTAGCGTGGTAAAACATCATTAATTTTTGTAATACAGTAAAAATGGTTACATTACTAGTGACAGCAGTAGTAGTAACATCAGTAGTTTTGATAGTAATAGCAGTTGTAATATTTGTATTAACAGGACCCGCAGCAATGTTAGCAACGTTAGTAACAAGGGTAGTAGGGGTAACAGTAGTAGAAGTTGTGACTACAGCCGAAGTAGTGGTAGCAAAAACAAGATGATAGTAAAAGAAGAGAGACATCGTGAGAGAGAGAGAGAGAGAGAGAGAGAGAGAGAGAGAGAGAGAGAAGAGAGAGAGAGAGAGAGAGAAAGAGAGAGAGAGAGAGACATCGTGAGAGAACGAACGAATGAACGTTCTTTATTTTCAAAGGGGTCACAAATTGGGCGCGCAGGTCCGTCATACATTCGGCTCTTCCAAACACCAATCTTTCACACTGCAACTGTATTTTATTAATAAGCATGTTATATTCATATTATAAAAGGCATATTATTAATATCAAGAAAAAAAAAAAACACACACACACAAACACAAAAGTATGGGTGGTAAAATGCATTCACACCGTAGCGCACGCACGCACACATACACGCACACACACGCACACACACACGCCTACCCAATCACTTAAAACCCCATATACATACACAACCACATACCGTCACAGACACACATAAACACACCCAAATTCATCCACATACACACCTACCTACCCACACAAACACGCACATTCCAGACACATATTTACAGATACACACATGCACACACAGACACACCCACAGAAACAAATGCAGACACACACACACAAACAGACATACGCACACAGACCCAAACACACATAAGCACACACACGGATACACACACACACCCGTAAACACACACTGCCAGATTCACACACACGGACACATACAAGCGCACAAACACACACGTATACACGCACTCAGACACACTCGCAGACACACACACAATCCCAGACACTCACTCACACACACACGCTAATGTTCACGCAAACACACACACACAGACACACAACTACAGACACACACACGCAGACGCATACATAAACACACAGCCACACATACAGACACACATGTAGACACACCCAGAAACAATACACATAGAGACACATATATACAAACACACACAGACATATAAACACAAACACACTTAGAGACATACACAGATATATACACACAGAGACTCAGATATATACAGGCATTAACGCAGAAACACATACACACACATGCTCGTACAAACACACACACAACAACAAAGACATACACACACAAACACACACGCAGGCACACATACGTATAACATACATACATGCAAACACATGCACAGACACATGCAGACACATACACACAGTCTTACACGCAGACACACTCACAAACGCACACACACACAAACACACATAGATACACACCCACAGACACACAATGCAAACACACGCAGACACAGACATAAAGATACAAACAAAAACACACAGACGCACATACAGAGACGCACACACAGAGACGCACACACAGAGACGCACACGCAGACATGCACACGTAGACACACATGAGAGAGAGAAATCGTGAGAGAGATCGTAAGAGAGATACATCGTATGAGAGAGAGAGAGAGAGAGAGAGAGAGAGAGAGAGAGAGAGGAGAGACAGACAAACAGACAGACAGACAGACAGACAGACAGACATACAGACAGACAGACAGACAGACAGACAGACAGACAGACAGACAGACAGACAGACAGACAGACAGACAGACAGACAGACAGACAGACAGACAGACAGACAGACAGACAGACGGACGGACGGACAGACAGACAGACAGACAGACATTGCCGGATAGTTTGGAAGCTTGGCACCAACAAACGTCTGTACCAAAAAAGACTGGACCTAAATGGAGACGGAATCAATGGCCAGGTGCGTGCGTGTCACGGCTGTAATCGTTGCCGCTTACACTTTTGATTGCAAAACAAAAATACATTTTTATTTATTATTACTCGTGCAAAAACTGTAACGCGGGAAAGCTACCAGTTACTAATAGTACGATGCTAGCTGCACACGCACACTCTCACAGTGAAGAATGATCGTCACTTTAAGGAGACAGAGGTTTAAGGATGATGAAGTTAATTAAATGTTCATTGTTATCAATAACATTTTACAAAGAAAACATTTTAGCAGATACAAAAAATGTAACAGTTCGTCAGTTGTACACATTTCTGGACACCCCATGACTTATTAATCAGTCGACGATTCCTTTCTCTCTTTATTTGTAAAAACATCAAATTAATTCATTCGTTCCATCTGTCTTGTTTTTTTTTCTTCATTCATCACTCGTATTTTTTAGTGTTTTTTTTTCAGACCACTCTTTCATTAATTTCATCACTTTGTTTGTCCCTCTGTCATCCAGTCATAAAATTTGTTTTCTGCTTTCTTTCATTTGTTGCTGT